AAATTAATAAAACCAAAAATGAGTTCTTTGAAAAGAATATTATTTATATTGTATTGTAACTAATATTGTAATATTAATATACCTGTAGTCAGACCAACAAAAAAAGAGAAGATGAAATAGGGGATATTACTAAAGATCCTACGGATATGACAAGGATAATAAGAGAATATAACAAGCAACTTTATGTCCACAAATTAGACAACTTAAGGAAACAAATTCCCTGAAATACACAAACTAAAAAAGCCACACAAACTACAAAAACCACTCAGGAAGAAACAACCTGAACAGTACTATATCTACTGAAAGAACTGAATACCTTTTAAACTTAGGAGGAAAAACAAAAACAAAAACTCCAACCCCACGTGGCTTCACTGAGGAATTCTACCAAACATTTAAGGAAAAAATAATACAAATTATACACAAACTTCTCCAGTTAAAAAAAGAAGGAAACAATTCCTAATTCATTTTGTGAGGTCAGCATTACTCAAACAAAATATACACATACACACACAAACATATTAAAAGAAAACTTAGATCAATATTCTACATGAACACAGATGCAAAAACTTATCAACAATACATTACTAAATCAATTCCAGCAATATATAAAAAGGATAATACACCATGACCAAGTGGGGTTTCTTCCCAAAAATGCAAGGTTGGTATGACATTAAAAAATCAATCAATGCAATTCATAATATCAACAGATAAAGAGGAAACATCATATAATCATCTTATTAAATGCCATAAAAACATTTGATAACATTCAACATCCATTCATGATAAAAAAAAAAATCTCAGAATGGAACTTCTTCAGGATGACAAAGGGAATCTACAAAAAACCTATCACTAACATTAGGGTTAATGGTGAAAAGACTAAATGCTCTTCCCCTAAGATCAGGAACCAAGCAAGGATGTCCACTCTCACCACTCCCATTCAACTTCATAGTGGAGGTTCTAGGCAATGCAGTAAGGCAAGAAAAAGCAATAAAAGAACCACACAAATAAAACTGTTCTCTATACAGAGAAATAAAATATCTCTATTCACTGATGACACGCTTGTTTACAAAGAAATTCCCAAAGAATCTACTAAAATCTATTTAAAAGTGACTAAAATTAATTAGTGAATTTAGGAAAATCTCAGGGTACAAGGTCAATATAAAAATCAATTGTATATTGCACAACAATGTGAATGGTCTCTCTTTTTTTTTTTTGGTGAGGAAGATCGGCCCTGAGCTAACATCTGTTGCCAAGCTTCCTCTTTTTGCTTGAGGAAGACTGTTGCTGAGCTAGATCTGTGCCAATCTTCCTCCATTTTGTATATGGGATGCTGCCACAGCATGGCTTAATGAGTGGTGCATAGGTCTGTGCCCAGGCTCCCAACCAGTGAACCCCAGGCCACTGAAGCACAGCACATGAACTTAACCACTACACCACTAGGCCAGCCCCTGAATGTTGCTTTAATGTTACTAAACTGTATGCTTTTAAAAGGTTAAATGGAAAATTTTACGTTATGTACGTTTTACCAAAATTTTTCTTAAATGATAATATCAGGAGGTTATCTAGAGAGAAACAAAATGCCTTGAGCCAGCTGAAAACTAAGTCTTTATTAAAAGTTTTTTTAGTCACTTGTATTTATAGATACTGGCAATGTATAATTGGAAATTGAAATTAAAAAATATTGTGCCACTTTTAACAGCACCACAAAACATAAAATAGGTATAAATCTATCAAAACATGTACAAGATCTGTATGCTAAAAACTAGAAACACCAACGAGGAAAATTAAAGAAGCACTAAATAAATAGAGGGATATATTATGTTCATAAAGTGGAAGGCTCAATATGGTTAAGACACCAATTTTCCCTAAACTTAACTATAAATGCAATGTAATTCCATCCAAATCCAGGAGGACATTTGTAGAAATCAGCAAACTGGTTCTAGAATTTATATAGAAAATAAAAGTAACTAGAATAGCCAAAACAACTTTGAAAAGGAGCAAAACCAGAGAACTCAAACACGCTGATTTCAAGACTTTCCATAAAGCCATTATAATGAACACAGTGCGATAATGGCAAACAGACAGTCACACAGATCAACAGAACAGAGTCTAGAAGGAGACCCACACTCGGTCAACTGATTTCAATAAAGGTTCAAACCCAATTAAATAGGGAAAAGATAGTCTTTTCAACAAATGGTGTTAGAATTTCTGAATATCCATATGGAAAGAAATGAAGCTCAACCTATACCTCAGAGCATACATAGAATTTAACTTAAAATGGACCACAGATTTAAAAGTAAAAGTAAAGTAAAACTACAATACTGTTAGAAGAAAATGTAACAGAAAATCTTTGTGAGCCTGGATTAGGCAAACAGTTCTTAAATATAATACCAAAAGCATGAACCATAAAAGATAAAACTAATAAACTGGACTTCTTCAAGATGTAACAACTTCAGTTCTTCACAAGATACTGCTAAGTCACTGAAAAGATAAGCTACAGACAGGGAGAAAATATTTGCAAACACATAGTGATAAAATATCTATGCCCAGATTATACAAAGAACTCTCAAAATTCAGTAAGAAAACAAACAAAAAATGTTAATGGCCAAAACTTTGAACAGACAAATAAAGAAGATATATGGATGGTAAATAAGCACAGGAAAAGGTGCTCAACATCATTTGTCATTAGAGAAAAGCAAAATGAAAAGAAGATACTACTACACACCTATTAGAATAGCTAAAAATAATAAAGAAACTCACAATATCAAGACAACTATTGGATGGAAGGCAACTACTGGAAAAGAGTCTGGCAGTTTCTTCCAAAGTTAAATATATACTTACTATTTGATCCAGCAATGCCACTTCTTGATATTTACCCAAGAGAAATGAAAATTTATGGTCTTACAGAAATCTACAGGCAAATGTTTATAGTAGCTTTACTCATAATCTCCAAAACTAAAAACAAATCCATTGGTGAATGGATAAACTGACTTACATCCACACAATGGAATACCACATGGCAGTAAAAAGAAATGAACTAATAAATACATCAATAAATCTCAAATGCACTGTGCTACTTGAAAGAACCCAGTATTCCTAACTGTAGGGACAGAAAACAGATCAGTACTTACCAGAGGCCGGCAGTAGGGGATGGGGTGACTGTAATATGGTAAAAGGGAATTTTCTGGCATGATAAGAATTCTTCTATACCTTGATTGCGCTGGTGGTTTCCAGACTGTATGTACTGTCAAAACTCATAGAGGTATACACTAAAATGGGTGAATTGTGCTCTATGTAATAATAGGCAATACCTCAGTAAGCCTGACAAAAAAATCCTATCAATAAATCTACAGGAGCTGGCCCCGTGGCCAAGTGGTTAAGTTCGAGCGCTCCACTGCAGGCGGCCCAGTGTTTCGTCGGTTCGAATCCTGGGCACGGACATGGCACTGCTCATCAAGCCACACTGAGGCGGCGTCCCACATGCCACAACTAGAAGGACCCACAACTAAAAATATACAACTATGTACCGGGGGGTTTTGGGGAGAAAAAGGAAAAAATAAAATCTTAAAAAATAATAATAAATAAATAAATAAATAAATTTACAATGATTTTATTCATATAAGTTAGGTCAGAGTTTCTCAAAGTATGGAACCACCACTTCCAAAATCTCCTTTAATAAGGAGTACTTGATAGAAATAAATAATGGTCCCCACACCAAACCAACTGAATCACAGTCCTGTGGGTAGGACTCGGAATCTCCACTTTCATAAGACACCCTATGTGATTCCGATACATACTGAAGTTTGAAAAACTCTTCATCAGAGCATAAATCACTCTTTTTATTTTATTAAATGTGAACTGAAGTGTCCTGACAATAGAAAGATAGCTTGGAGGTTTAACCAAGTCCCATAATAAAGTCTAACAGTAAAATTACACAATAAATGTTATTTATCTAATATTATCTATTAAATATCAGCATCTTCAAACATATTTCTTCTAAAAAACAGTAGTACATGAATACCTCACTCTTTCACACACAAGCAAAGACAGATGAAATAAGATTAAATATAAGCATATAAAATCACAAAATCCAGAAGAAAAATGAGGATTTCTGTTTTGTAATAACACAGACATAGGGAAGGCTTTCTAAGGACCAAGGTCTAGAAGTTTTAAGGGAAAAAATCCTAAAAACGACTACTTTAAAGTTAACCACACAAAACAAAACAAAAGTAAAGACAACATAGAAACCCATCTTTACAATACATACAACAAAAGATGAATTTTCTTAAATTTGCAAAGAGCTCTTACAATCATTTAGACTAACCAATTAAATATATAGGCTAAGTAGTTTCTCAGAAAATGAAATAGAAATGACTTAGAATCTCTTCCTTTAGTTTCTTTCTCCCATTCTCCAATCCCATCCTTTAACCCACCTGAGTAGTAAAAAGGATTTTCCCACACCCACTTCTCCATCACCATAGGTCTCAAGTGTGTCTGTGTGTATTACACCAAGACTTCCAGAAAGGAGGATTCAGAGTTCTTGTTATATTTTGTTTTTTTTAATATGTAGCAATAAATTCAATTTCTAAACAGGCAGTTTTATTAATTAATATTTGGTCTTAGGAGGATCCATAGTCATTCTTCCTGATTCATTCCCTAATTCAGGTCTTAATTTCTTTTCTCCCTTTGTTTCAACCATGTAATTAACTGCAACGGCAAAATTCTGGAGAAGGATTGCTCCTGCAAAGGAGACGTGGTGCACATAAAGCTGGGATGTGTGATAAATTTATGTTTGACTGAGATTCTCAAAATGGAAAAATCATTATTCCCAAGGAACAGTTCTACCTGAAGCATCCACCTCTTCCAGCAAACCTTTAGATTACTTCAATATTAGACAATTCAGAAAAACAATATGCTGCTAGGGAAATTTTTCATTTTATTAAATCCTATTCACAACTCCTTTCCCCAAAGCAAACAAAATATTACTTGATTTTGCTTACCTCCTCTCCTGAAAGATAATATGCTGAAAGGAGGCCTCCAATAAATCGAATGTTGACTTCAAACACAGACACCTCTGAATTCTGTGAAAACATAGTGACAATATTCACACATACATAAAGCTTTACAGTTTGCAAAATATTTTCAATACTTCATACACTTCTCTCAAACATCCCGTGGAGAATGTTTTTTCCGCTTTCTACATCTTCACTTCTCATCCAACTGCAATCTCACCTCCCGTGTGTTAATGTTACTGAAGCTCCTCTATTATTACCGTCACCACAGCTTCCTAACTGCCAAAACCAATGGGCCATTTTCATGTACAGATTATTGTGAAATTATCAAGATACTGGATGCTGTTAACTATTCTCCCTTCCTCATGAAATCCTCCACTTCTTGAATTCCGGAGTAGCACCCTCTCTTCTGGTCCCCTCCCTTCTGTTCTATCACTACAGTACACTGTCCATTTTAGTCCTCTCTCTCCTCATGAATTTTAAATACTTTTCCTGGTACATATAATAACAATAAATGTTAAAGGAGGCACCAAAAATAATGGTAGGATGATGGATTTTTCAGTTAATAATGCTGAGAAAACTGGCTCCTAGGTAAGAAATTAATTTGGATACTCATTTCACATATATGTTAAAATGAAATCCAAATGATTTAGAAATAAATGTAGAAAAATTACAACAAAAAACAGAAAAAATGTGACAGTATATAAACTTTCTTGAGAAAACAAGCACTTGGTAAGCATAAAATCAATAGTATTTATTGATAATAAATGATGAAAGACTGAATGTTCCCATAACACACATTACTTATAAGAAAAAAATCATGAACAAAATTAACAGGCAAACAACAAACAGAAGGAAATTTGCCACAAATATAGCACTATTAATAAACTTACTATATAGAGCCTATATTCTTGTATTTAGAAATGCATATAAAAAAAAATTCTAATACATGGAAAGAAAAGTAGAAGTGACAGAGAATATGATCAAAGAATCCACAGATTATACACAATTGACTAATATAAAAATAACACTCATAATTAATATTTAATGAAAATTAAAAGGAAATATATATTACCCTGAAGTCTTTTCAACACTCATAGGCAGAACACATCACTTGCTAACACAAGTCTATTTTTCTAAGATAGAATGTCCACAATATGCTGTCATGTTTTAGTAACAGAACTGTCAATCCACCCCATCCTTGAAAGCAAAGTGCTTTCTATTACTTCATATATTCCCAATATATAGCATACTGCAGGGCACACAGCAGACATTCACTAAATACACAGAGGAAGAGAAAAAGCAAGGAGGGCCTCTATCACTCACCAGAACAATAACCCTCTATCCAGTTTCCCTGCTTCCATCCTTACCCTCTTGCCTACACTCTATTCATTCAGCACCCCATAGCTAGAGTAAGCCTTGTAAATCTTAAGTCAGTCTAGGTTCCTACTCTGTGCAAACCCTTACAACGATTTCTGGTTACACTCAAGAGTAAAATGACTGATAAAATCCAACATAATCAGATTCCCCACAACCTCTCAGATGTCATCGCCTACCAATATCCCTTTGACTCACTTTATGATTACCAAACGGGTCTACCCACTATTGCAGAATTGTCAAACTCACTCCTGTGTCAGGCTTCACATTGGGAGTTGGTTCCAGGTTACAGTTCCCCTCCCACACATACATATTCCCCAAATCAGTCTCATTGCGGCCCTTAGAGATACCAAACTCTAGCTAGGTGTCCCCTCCTCAGAGGTCTGAGTCCCAGCTTTGAGAGAGCCCTTCTAAGAACCCCTAAGACACCAGAAACAGAGTCCCAAACTACTAAATTTTAATGATTCCAACCTTTTCCCATTGTTCTCAAAGTGCCAGGGGTGGTAGCTGTTTACTGTAGTTACTATCTCTTGTAATACCACAATATTCCCTTTGCAGTTCCTCATTACTTGGTTAACAATTTAAACATTAAATCCTCTAATTAAAATAAATAGTATAGTTCTGGTTCCTGATTGAGCCAACCAATACAATGATATGCCAGTGAATTATTAGACATAATAAAGCTGTCATGTTAATGAACAGGAGTATTTGAAATTGCACTGATACCAATTCTCTCCAATTTAATCCATAAATTTAATGCAATCCTCATCAAAATTTCAATGCACTTTTATGGAGCTTAAAAGAATAAAGAATTACTAAGATAATTTCCTAGTAGAACAAGATCAGATATCAAGATTCAGATATAGATATCAAGCTTCTTATAAAAATACTGTAGTTAAGATAGTTTAATACTGATGTAGGGATAAAGAGAAAAGTCAGTAGAAAAGAATAGACTAATATGACTAATGTGGCATGTACAAAAAGTAGAGAATTAAATGGTGCTATGAGCAATTAATAGTTGCCTATCTCACCCTACGTACAAAATCAATTTCATATAGATTAAAGACCTAAACGCAAAAGCGAAACTTTAAAACGTTTAGAATTAAATATAGGAATATATCTTCATGACTTTGGAGTAGGGATTTCTTAATACAAAAAGCACAATCTATAAGGGCTAAGTAGCTATCCAGAAAAAAAAAAGAGACTACATTTCCCAGTCTCCCTTTACAGTAAGGTGGAGACATATGAGTAAGACCAACTGAGGAGGATACAAGCAAAAATGGCGCAACCAACTCCTGAGAAGTGCTCTTAAAAGAACAGTCACATATCTTTCCTCTGTCCCTTCCTCCTTTCTGAAACTGGAAGGTTTATCCACCTTCTCCTGAGGAACCATTTTGAACCATGAAACTGACAGAGCAACAAGACAAAGGATCCTAGGTCCTTGGTCCTCAAGGAGCGACCCACACCGGCCCTACACTGCTTACCTCCGTACTTGATCTGCATGAGAGAGAAAAACACCTATCTTGTTTAAGCTATTTTATGTTGGATTTTCCACCATTCACAGCCAAACCTAAACCTAATTGATAATAAAAACTGCTCTAATTGAGATATGTCCAAAATACTAAAATAATATAAAAGAAAGTAATCAGTCTTTATCTACCTTGGCATCAGGAGAGGCATCAGAGAAGAAATAATTATGGATTTAAATCACAACTTGAATCATGCTGAGTCAGCCAAAGAGAAAAAGTCAGAGAGGAGTGACTTCTGACTCCACTCAGAAGGAAGAGCAAACACAAACATCACGGAAGGTGATAATGAATAAGACAAAACAGCCCACACATCTTCTAGGTGAAGACTAATAATAATGAAAATAATTGATACCATTTACTGAACACTTAATATGTACCAGATTATCTCAAATAATCCTCACAATATTGTAATGGGATAGAAATTTTATGACAGGTTTAGGAAGAATAAGGAACTTTCCCAAGTAGCACTAGATTGTAGCTGTGCTGAGCTTCAAAACCTAAGCAGTACCACTCGACAGTTATGCCAAAATGCTGGAAGGATGGGCATAGGCCTAATTATGGAGGCTCATCAAAGCTGTGCTAAATCACTGAGTCTTCAAAAAATTAAGAAAATATTTATTAGTTATAAAGTATTTTATGGTTTCCTGATATTTCTAATTCAATGTGCTTTTCTCCCTAACTATTGCCTTAACACAGTGCCTCAAAGGATTAGGGGAAGAAAAGTAAAAGAAGAAAGGGGACTTAGGATTTCCTTAAATTGCTAGTATAATGCTCAAAACTACTATTGTTAGACACTGTGTCTTTTCACAGTCAATCTAAGAAATTATCAATTGTATACTCACCACACTGAAATCAAGGTTGTCTTCAATCCATTTTTGCCCATCTCGGAATTCATCAAGAAGTCCCATGATATAAAGGGTATCCAAAGCATCTACTATGGTGGCACCCATTTGTGAACTTCCTATATTTGGGGGAAGAAAACTGAAATTAAAAAGATAGCCTTTGTAAAAGGTCTATTTTAATTTTTTTTTATTTATTATTTTTTTTGAGGAAGATTAGCCCTGAGCTAGCTATTGCCAACTCTCCCCTTTTTGCTGAGGAAGACTGGCCCTGAGCAAACATCCATGCCCATCTTCCTCTACTTTATACGTGGGACGCCTACCACAGCATGGCTTTTGCCAAGCAGTGCCATGTCCACACCTGGGATCCAAATCGGTGAACCCCAGGCTGCCGAGAAGTGGAACATGCGAACTTAACCACTGCGCCACCAGGCCAGTCCCATTAATTTTTTATATACACAAAGTAAATCAAAGTAGAAATATAAGGACCAAAAAGAATACCCAACATAGTTCACTTTTCCACAAGAATAGATAATATACATTGTTTAATATATTTTCCTAAAGATGACAAATTGATATCTAACAGGAAGATAAAGGAAAACCAAAGTTATAATTCTCCTCAATTTTCTTCCTGGTCAGAATATGAGCTATCTGTCTACTCAACTGAGACAGGTACAAAAAGAGGATTAATTCAAGAAATGGGGAGGGTGGTTCAAGATGATAATAAGTCCTAAGACAACCATGCTTTTCTAGTTCAAACTCATAAAAAGGGCAAAAGATATACTTAAAAATAATAATAAAATACAGCAAGGCTAGAAAACCACAGTGGAACAAAAACTATAATAATCCTTAACAATCAAAAAGCAGATAGATCATACTGAAAAAGTAAGTCATAAAACAAAATGTGAGTAGAGAAAATCAAATTAATAAGATCTACTCATCTTCAAGAAAGATATAATCCTGATCTTAAAGGAAATATTTCAGAAAGGTAGGAACTAATTCAACAAAGCTGGTCCAAATGATATCAAAACTAGATACTGTAAACACATGACAAGAAAACAGGCCAACCTTACTAATGAATATAAGGCAGAAATCCTGAATAAAATACTAGCAAAACAAATTTAACAGCATAGTAAAAAATAAATAACTGGGAGCAGATGGGTCCTCCCCAACCCAAGAAATGCAATTATTATTTCTATCTTCTGAGAATAAAATCATCCACACAGTTTCCTATCTACATAACTTTACTATTATACTGTCTTCATCAACATGAGTTTACTGTTCCAGAAGACACTTGCCCAGAAAGATAAAACTTACAAAATAAGTTTATTGTTCGTTCCAGGAACTTCCTAAAGACCCAGCAACTCCTCAACAGAAAGTACCAAATGATGGCTTACACTCTAAACCTATGAACTTCTTGCCTCTAAATTCTCCACTTACCAATCCTAAATTATTATACCATCATCCTTACCCAATCATAACCAACGATCCTGCCTGCCCCCCAGCCAACTGAAGGGTCCATGTTAAACTAGACTTAAAATCTCAATAAATACCTCAACTTTGGCCTTTCTTGTCTGACAGGCTACCAAGGCTCTGGTGAAGTAGTGGTCTTCATTAACATAGTAAGCATTAAACTAAGCTTTGTCTTATCAACAAGTTACCTTGGCGATATTTTAGGAGTCAGCATTCGACATCACTTAGTCCATATTTTTCCATTTACTATTCTTTCTTTTCTTTCCTTTTTTCTTCCATTCCTTTTTCTACTGGGTAAATAGTCTTTTCTTTTGATGGTTTAAAGCTATACAAATTTGTTCTTATAATGGTTGTCCTTAACTTACATCACATTTTCTTGTTCATATGCTCCTAATAATTTCTTCAACTTATCAATAAGTACATTTTCCTTCTAACAAGACAAGTGCTCCACCATACGCTGATGAATTCCTTGGTCTTCTCCTCACTCAGTTTCCTTCATGTTGCTATTAACTAGAACATTTGTTCCGGCTTATTACAGACATAGTTTCCTGTTACTTTTCTTGTTCCTCAGCTTTTTATTAAGATAATAAAAACTTTATCAAGACATTTAATCATCCATATATCCGTATCTTTTGAATAATCACTTGAATATGTATCTCTTTTTATCAGTATTTCATCCAAAACATTTATCATGTTTATTTTAAATCCTTAAGAATACCTATTTTTGTTCTTATTTCAGTTTTTATAGGTAGTTATGCTTCTCAGTTCTCTAGTTATTTATTTAGTCCTCTAAGTGCATATTCCTCTAAAGTGCTGACTACTCCGGAATGGAACAAGGCCTGAACCCACCTATTTTGTACCCACTCTGGTTAGTTCCACAAGGAGAGGTTCATGCAACGAGCTAAAGCCCAAGGACCAAAAAGGCAAAACTGAAATTACTGGCTGGCACTATGAGTATTTACCTAGACAACTCAAAATTTCAACTGGAAAAAATTAAAAGGTCTAAACTACCCGTGGGTCAGATAAGAAGTGAAACATGACATTGCAGAATATATAAAACACTTATAAAAATTTATTATGAGAACATAGGAATCAACTAAAGCAGTTCTCAGAGAAAAACTCCTACTTGAAATTGTATATTATTTAATAAGAAGAAATGAAAATAATTGAAGTGACAACATTCTACAAAGGAAGTAAGAAAAAGAATGATAAACTTGAACAACAGACTAGAAGAATCAGAAAAACTAAAGACAGAAATTAATGAATTAGAAATAAAGAAAAGGGGAGCAAAATGGCGGGGTGAGGTGACCCTGGATTCTCTCCCCTCCAAAATACAACAAAGGATTGGAAAAACTGAATTTCAGAGAATAAATCTAAGGCCAACATGTTAGAGACCTACAATACCAAGAAGGTGGAGATCATAAACGTTGCTGACAGCCTCAGAGGCGCTGGAATGGGTAGGAGAGAAGGTCGCTCCCCCAGCTAGACTCTGCCATCACTGCTGCGGGGTTCCGGGAAGGAGCAGGGGGAGGGGCCATGTACCGGGGGATCATCGAGGACTCCTGCCGCTGGTTCACTGGAAACCCGCTGACGAGGGAAAGCTTCCGTTTGCGGGGACCCCATAAACCCAGGGCCTCGGGAGACCAGAGAACAGAACTGATCTGAATCCAGATCGGCACTGGAGAATAGCAGCCCCTCCCTCCCATCAAAGCTACTGGTTGTGGCCATCTTGCCCAAAGGCACAGAGCTCAGAACATGCGGCTCTCAACCCCCATCTAGTGGCGACAGGCTGTAACTGCAACCGAATTCTACCACTATGCGAAAAAACCGCTCCTCTACCATCCAGCAATTTATAAAAGCCCCAGACCAGAAGGAAAACAATAAAAACATAGAATTAAGTCCTGAGGACTTGGAATTAGGTAAACTAAGTGATAATGAGTTCACAGCAGCTATAATCAAAAAAATCAATGAGGTAGAGAGAAAGATAGAGAAACAAGCCAATGAGTTCTGGAGTTACGTCACAAAAGAGATTGAAATCATAAAGAAGAGTCAAACAGAATTACTAGAGATGAAAAACACAATGGCCCAGATAAAACAGAATACGGATTCCCTGAATACCCATGTAGACACCACAGAAGAGCAAATTAACATAATTGAAGATAGACAGGCCAAATGGCTCCAGACAGAGGAAGGAAGAGAACTAAGAATTAAAAAAAACGAGGAAAATCTCCGAGAGATAGTGGATTCAATGAGTAAGAACTTAAGGATCATAGGAATTCCCGAGAACGTAGAAAAGGAAAATGGAGCAGAAAGTGTGCTTAACGAAATTATTGAAGAGAACTTCCCAAATCTAGGGATTGACAGAGAAATGTGTATAGAAGAAGCTTTCAGATCTCCTAGATTTGTCAATGTAAAAAGACCTACAGCAAGGCACACAGTAGTACACTTGGCAAGAAGGAAAGATAAAGAAAGAATACTCAGGGAAGTAAGAAAAAAGAAGAGAATAACCTATAAAGGAGCCCCTATCAGACTTTCAGCAGATTTCTCTACAGAAACCTTACAAGTTAGGAGAGAATGGAGTGACATATTCAAAGCTTTAAAAGATAAAAATCTTCAGCCAAGAATACTCTATCCAGCAAGAATTTCCTTCAAATATGAGGGAGAAATTAAATCTTTTCCAGACAAACAAAAGTTAAGGGAATTTGTAACTAAAAGCCCTCCACTACAAGAAATCCTCAAGAAGGCTCTCATACCTGAAAAAAGAAAAAAGGGAGAAAGGGGTCACAATACACAGACTAGGGAGACCGATGGACAGAACCAGAACAGGATAGCAAATATTCAACTATAGCATTAGGGTAAAGGTAAGGAAACCACCAAAGCAAGGATGATCTTGTCACTCTAACTACAAATTCATTACACGAGTTGGAATAAGAAATGAAAATAATTATTTAGGAGGGGAAGAGCAAAGGGTCTAAATCAGTATTGGCCAAGTAAGTAAGAGCCCACCAGAGAATAGACTATATTATACACGAGATTCTAAATACAAGCTTTGGGGTAGACACTAAAATAAAGTACAGAACAGAGTCACAAATCATAAATAAGGAAAAATCTAAGAAACCCAGCATAAGAAATTGCAGTATTAAATGGGTAGGCTAAAGCACACAGGAAAAGAAATGCAGGAAAACAAGATAATGAGCGACAGATTGACAGCATTAAGTCCACATGCATCAATAATCACTCTCAATGTGAAGGGATTGAACTCTCCAATAAAAAGGCAGAAAGTGGCATAATGGATTAAAGAACAAGATCCAACAATTTGTTGCCTCCAAGAAACACACCTCAGCCCCAAGGACAAACACAGGCTCAGGGTGAAGGGGTGGAGGACAATACTTCAAGCTAATAGCAAGGGAAAAAAGGCAGGTGTTGCAATTCTTACATCAGAGAAGTGGATTTCAAAATAAGACAGGGAAAGAGAGACATAGAGGGACAATATATAATGATCAAAGGGACACTTCATCAAGAAGAAATAACGCTTATAAACATCTATGCACCCAACACAGGAGCACCAAGATTCATAAAGCAACTATTAACAGACCTAAAGGAAAATGTTAAAAACAACACAATAACAGTAGGGGACCTCAACACCCCA